GGGCTGCTGGTGGCATTGCCCTTTGGTAGGGTGCTAGGGCTAGGTATAATACCTGTGACCAACTAGTGAGGTAACTGTCTTCTTCCTTACCTCAGATGGAGCAAATTTTTTTTTAAGAAAAGACAAAAAAAAAAAAGATAAGACAAGAAAAATTAAAGAGAGACACAAACAAAATATTGGTAAAAGATACAAGAAGAAGAGAAAGTAAATCAATAAGAAGGAAGAATAAGTTGATAAAAGAAAAAGATTATTTAAAAAACCTAATTATAAAAAAACAACCAAAGATACTGCTACCGGCTGTCTCCTGCTGTCTGCTGTCAGCTTGTTCCTGTGGTTGTCTCGGGAGTCTAGTAAGTGGCCTGTGTGTGCGCGCCCCTGTGCAAGCAGTAGCCAGTCATGACAATTTATTTTCTTGAGAGTGTTTCACCTGGGGTGCTGTAGTTACCAGGGGTGGTCTGCTTGAGTACTGGTGCAGTAGGTGCTTATAATGGAAGGTGGTCCAACTGATCAGGTCATTTGGGTGGGGAGTGGTCTCTTGTCCTTAATCGCTTGCTTGCTGAAAGCCCAAGAGAGCCTTACTCAAAAGACATGAAAGCAGGGAGAAAAGGCACTTCTGTTCTAGTTCACTGGGGTGAATCCAATGCACTTTTGTGTGAGCACAGTCAATTATCCAGTTCCTACCCCGACTAATTGGAGTGATAATTCCAGAGTCCAGTACTTCTAATTGATGCCTATTGGCTTTCCCCATAATGGAACTATGAGCTCAAACTTGGAATCTCTACTAGTGAACTATTTTGTCACCCTTCCATAGATCCTTCCCCACTTGATAGTCACCAATGCAAGTGTCCTGGACAGTTTTGCTGCACTTTCCTCTCATAACCCCCCTCTTATTCTGATCACCTCATTTCACTCAAGATCCGGTCACAAACTATCTCTATCCCAACAAAAATTCCATGAGATTGGCTGCTTCTCTGTGTGTTACATCTTGTGTCACTGTTTTTGCTCTGTTTCGCTTTGCAATTGGCATTTAGTTGAGTTTATCCACTGATATTCAGAGTTCCAAGATCACCATTGTTCTGTGTTTCAATTGGTTCTTGTAATTTCCTTGGTAGAGGGACTGGGTTGAGTGTGTTACTAAAATGCCATCTTGTCTCTGTTTCTAAATGTCATGTATGTCCTCACATCTCCTATTATTTCATTCTACAAAATAGTCATGCTCTTTCTCAAGTTTCAACTCTTCAGATCATGAACTTGTCTCTCTTGCCTTTGTGCCTTAACACATGACACTCCCTCTTACAAGAATCCTTCTTCTAATTTGAGGACCTAGAAAACCCATGCTTCTTCAAGAGTCAGCTCATGTGTCACTTCCAGGAAGCCTTCCATGACCAACTACATATTTTTCTAGCATGTACTCTAAGGGAACATTCTGCACCCAGCCCTCCACTGATCTGCTTTGTCCTCAAGAGTAAAACTCTTCTCTCCTTTGCTGCCACTGTAATTCCCACCATAAACTGGTGAGAATAGACAGCTGATATATCTTTGAAAAAGAGAGGAAGCACATAAAGGCAAAAGAATGAAAGATTAAAGGGAGAGAGGGAGGCATTAATTCTGCATACAAAAATGATTTAACATCTGCTGGTAACTGTCATCTTGAGAATGAGTCACATAGATGCATACCATGTTGGAGAGCGGTGGCATGTTTCTAGTATACATGTCGGTGAAAAAAGAGACCCAGAAGGCAAGCTGTTCTCTGATGAATGGGTCAGGAGTTCCTAAGGGCAACCAGATCTTGAGCTGGGTATCATGGGTCAAGAATGAAGGGCCAGAGCTTGGAAAGCAAAACTGGGCTGATGTTGACTACAGATCCTTCCCCACAGTTCAAGTCTCTCAACTTTGGGAAGAAATTATCCTTAGCTTTATAGTCTCATAACTCTCCTGCACTCCCATGTGTAACCTGAAACATTTTGGGAGTCATCTAACTTCACTGGCCATGTATGGATTGGCAGAGAGAGAAAAAAGTACGGTTGGTAAATGCTAGAATGTTCAGTCCTAAGCATCACTATTTTGATAGAACCAGAAGCATCAATAATTTTAAAAACAGTGTGGTATCTAGCTGAATTTTTCCATTTTCTCCTCATTGGGATGTACGATAGACATAGCTCCAGGCAGAAATAGCTATGAATGGCATTGTGTTCACATCAGAAACAACCTGTAAGTATAGGAGCATACGCTATAGCCAGGAGTGCACATAGGAGACCACACCTCAAATCACAAAGAGCTTTCCTGATAAAAGTAAGCCCAGCAGTTTTCTCTTACATAGAATTACCCTAAGATTAAATCCCTGTGCCTTTTCTTAAAACACAGAAAGAATAAACTGGCTGGCAACCCCACAGGAAGGCACATGACCCTTGGGATTCTTACTCCAATGTGAAGAATTGTGCACCAGGTCAGTCACTGAATGACAGCACCGGTTTTAGGACTCTGGGATGAAGGACAGGGAAGAGGTACCTGAATGAACAGAGAATGCCACTAAATAACAAGATGGAGCACCCAAGCAAGCACTGTTCACTCATTGATTCATTTAAACAATTACCATTGTGTTCTCTGTGTAGAGTTCGGATGAGATCAAAATCAAACCACAGTAAAATCTGGAAAGAGTTGGAAATCCAATGCCAATCTTGGCATAGTTAGGGAATTTGAAGCTGAGAGACATACAGAATGGTTTTCCTTTGGTTATACTTGTTAATGTCCCTTAGATTTGAATTTGTAGTGACTCTTTGTGTTTTCACTCTGACTGAAATTCTTCCTCTCTGTTTTTTTTAATCATTTTATTAGAGGTTCATACAACTCTTATCACAATCCATACATACATCAATTGTGTAAAGCACATTTGTACATTCATTGTCCTCATCATTCTCAAAATATTTGCTCTCCACTTAAGCCCCTGGCATCAGCTCCTCATTTTCCCCCTCCCTCCCCGCTCCCCCTTACCTCATGAGCCCTTGATAATTTATAAATTATTAATTTTGTCATATCTTTCCCTGTCCCACATCTCCCTTCACGCACTTTTCTGTTGTCCGTCCCCCAGGGAGGAGGTCACATGTAGATCCTTGTAATCGGTTCCCCCTTTTCTTCCTCTCTGTTTTAATCACAACTCTTCCCTTAGAGTGTGCTGGACCTAGAATTGGGTCTTGATTGATAAAATGTACAATTATAAAAAGTATGGCATTTATTCATATTTTTCTCACTTAAAAGATAAGGAATAGAATAAAAGCCTACACAATGAGATTAAATAAAATAAAGATAATGAATATCAGTGATTAATTTATAAGCCTTATGTATATCAAGGGCCATCCAAAAATCTCCACTGACATCAAGTTACTTCTGATTCTGGGTAACCCTATACAAAATTTCTGTGATCACAATTCTTGGTGGGAGCAAGATTTTACTAAGGAGTAGAGGAATAATTTGAAACCCTGACTATGTGGTCAACACTCCAATAGTTAGCTGAAGCACTACCAAATTCCAGTTAAAACAAACACAAGAACTGACTTAAAAAGAAAGAGAAATTTCTGTTCACCTTTTAAGCGTTATTTATTACTATTATTATTTAAGAGTCAAGTTTCAGGCATTAGATATGACACCGCCTTTCCAGCACAGAACGTTGCTGTTTACATCAGTTGATCCTCTGAAAACGTTACTCCCCACCCCACCCCTGCCCCTGGAAAATATGGATGACTGAAGGTAAGAAGAACATGACCTGCTCCTTGAAGGTCTATAAAGAATATCAGATTATTTTATTCAACAAACAACATTGGCCTGGAAGAAATACATTTGCAGGTGGTAGAGGCAGCTGAAAACATAATCAGAAATCAATTCTACAAACAGGAGGAGACATTTCTTTTTGTCCAGCTCAATTACTTGGGAGGGAAAAGACAAAGTGTGGGGGTGGAGGGGGAGAACATATCAGTGCAGATTAATATCAGCTTCCCATGTTATCCATATGCTTTCCCTCTTCTTGAGCCAGCAGATAAAATAAATGAAAACAATTAGAATTGAAGCACTCCTTAGAAGCTATCTAAAACAGTAGCCACTTTTATGAAGAAATTAGAGTCTAGTGAACTAGCCAGTTTGATAAATATATAAATCACATCACTGGCGAATAAAAAGTTAATCTGTCCTCCCTGAACCAATCAGGATACAAATCCTTAAAAAAAAAAATCTGAGGCTAACCTATGGGCCCAATAGAAAACACTGAAATCTTGATCTCAATGTTAACATGATTGAATTCACTCTGAACAGGACCAAACACCATCTGTTTTTAAATTGTCTATCTCCAGGAGGGTGTAGTTTGGTTATTTTGATGCAGTTCATACAGCTAAGGCACCAAATTTTCTATGTTAATTTCACAGTTTCACTAACATGCTTGCTAATGTTATGGTTCTGTAATAATCAGAAATGCTTCTCAGCTCAGAAGACCAGAGTTAGTTTCGGTATCTCCAAGTGAAGACATTGTGAGTTAGACCTACAGAAGTGTTTTAAGCATTGGACTGCTAACTCCAAGCTTGACAATTCCAACCAAGAAGTAGATCCAGGAGATAAAGTTGTGGCTATCTGCTCCTGTGAAGATGTACAGCCTCTGACAGCCTATAATAGGTCGCTATGGGTCAGAACTGACTAAGTAGTCTGGCCAAGAGTGGTAAAGAAAACCTCAGGTGCCTTTTTCTCCACTGCCCAATGAGAGCTGATGTTAACAATGAAAACGTTGGGAGAAATGAGAAAAATATGGCCATCAAGAAAATCACAACCCATGGCTCAATATGCTTATGTTTTTTAAGTTATAAATGGAAGAGTAAGTGGGATGGATATATTGAAAGCATTAACAATTATTCCAATACAAATTATGCACATTGGACCTCACTTTGCTTTGTCAATATGTGTTCTTATGCAATGAGACCCAAGAAATCATATCTGTTTTCTTTCTTTCTTTCTTTTTTTTACAGGGAAGAGCACAAATTCAGTCCCTCACTACCGCAAATTGTGCAGTAGCGTTTCCACATTGGGGGAAATCATGGGGGTCAGCACATCCGGAGTGCAATGGATAAGCCTTGCCCTGGGAAAACCACCTTCATGATCATGGTATCTTCCCTGCCAGGTAAGTATTCATATGTTTTCTACCAAATTAAATCAAATAAAAATAAGGGTATATAGAGATATTTTGTAAATGCTAGATTTTTAATAAAATATTGTATTTCATATTTTATAAAAAATGAATCCAATGTACTTTATAGGAAGTTAGATTTAATGTTAAGCAAACTTGAGGACAAAAATATTCACACTTTTTAATTACTGGTCACCGTGATCTTAAGAGAAAGAGGTGAGACTATATAATCTCAATTTAAGACTCCTTAAATTGGGCTTTTTGTTCAGTAACTAACACCATCAATTATTGGATGTTAGTGCACTATTTGGGATATAGAGATAGCTTTGTGTTAAAAGCATAAATATGTAGCATGTAAATGTAAACAGTACACATTGTGGGGATGTACCTTCCTTCTTATATACTCTTCAACATTAGCACTCCCTGAAAAAGATGCTGAATTTACCAGTTAAAGCAACTACTGCACTCAGAGACTGGAGTAGACGCAATACACTCTATGGAATTAAAAAAAAAAAAAAAGCATGTGTTGAAATAACACTGTGACCTCAACACTGAGGAAACCAGTGAAAAGGTTAAAAACAAGAAATATCTTCCATCTCTTACCCAACGAGATAATAATCTATGCCCAGAACCAGTTTATAAGTTAAATAGCACGACCACCAGTTGCTAGTCATAAGATTTTCAGTGGCGAATTCTGCAAGGTCAGCAGTTTGAAGTTGCCAGAACCAAGATAAAGCTTTCTGCTCCTGTAACGAGTTACAGTATTGGAAAACCACTGTAGTCCTCTACTTTGTCACATCTTTGCTCTTTGTCATATGTACAGCAAATGACCGTGGATCTGAAAAAAAGAACAAACTAAAAAACAAAACCAGGAAACTGTTGACAATATCACTATTTTCTCCAATTATCATGATGTTCCTTATTGCTACAGTTGTGAGGATTTGGTTTTCTTATCTTTACATTTGTGGTAGTTCCATAATCTGGTGTCAATTTGGCACTTGAAGGATTTAAAAGTGAAGGGGTGGAGTCTAGTCTGTGTGGGCATGGCCTTCTCCTGAGGATTCTGGGAAATCTGGTATTTCCTCTTTGGAGGTGGCAGACACCCTCTCTCTCTGTTCATGCCCTTGGAGACTCTCTCTCTGCTTACTCCCTGCAAGACATCCCTGAGGATAAGCCACATGGACCTACCCTGATGCAGCCAGAACCCTGGACCTGGAGACTACATCGAGACTCCTGCCAGCCCTGAGATACTTACTATGCCACTGGATCTACAAGACTTCCCACCCACTGGCCTGTGATCTTTCTGCATTCAGCATCATTGCATATGTTTCATGAGTCTGAAGAGGACTTTATAGGTTGGTGCTGGACATATGGGCTAATATTGGATTTATGAACTTGATCTGGATTGGGCTGGAATGTTTTCTCACTATTCAACTCTCTTGTATATAAAAACTCTTTCTTATACACATGAGTGTGTCCATAACTTTGTTTCTCTATTTGAACTAACACAACATTGAATTGTAATCTATAGCTGATAGCTCTATTTACTTTTATTTTTGGGTTAGTGAGTTCATCAAGTCTTCTTTGTTTTCATCAAACAAGAGATCATATGAATATCATAAGTTCTCCTCCAACTCTGGTGTCACATTTTTCTTCACTTAATCCAGTTTCTCAGTTGATTTGCTCAGCATACAGATTGAATGAATATGGTAGAAAGTAACAACCCTACTGTACATCTTTCACATATTTCCTGACTTTATGCCATTCAGTATCTCCCTGTCCTGTTTGAATACACAGTTAAGTGTTGTGGCATTCCCACGTTGCCACCACTTGTAGGTCACCTTGATAGATGGTGGTGGCTTGCATGTTGCTGTGATGCTGCAAGTCATGTCACAGGCATTTTAACACTAAATGAAAATTTTCTTTTTTTAAAAATGATAGTAAAATAAAATTACTTTCGATTTACACTTTTTGTAACAGTTCATGTCCAGGACATAGGCACTATAATATATGTTACAGAAAGTTCTTGAAAAATATAAAAATTGAAAGCACATAAGAATCCATGCCACAGGTTCCCAAACTTAATTGTCTTACCACCTCCTTTTCAAAAAAAAAATCGCCATTCCCCTAGCAATTGACAACATTTATAGTATAGTGCATAATCCAGAATAGAGGCATCTGCTTGTGTAATCCCCTTGGAATATTTCAGTGCCCTCCCTCACCCCCCGGGAGTGCTATTGCCCACTTTGAGAAACATTGCTCCATACCTCAAAAATGAAATACATTAAATAATATGTACATGGATATATATAAAACAAGCTTATATTTAAATTTACTATAATTAATGAGTCATTTGAATGAAGCCTAATAACAAGGTATTCTGTGGTTCATCACATGTACATGTAAAATACATGATAATAGAAACCATAACTCACAAAGGGGAAAGGAGTGTTCTAAGCTAATGTTTTATAATAGATCTGAAGTGATATACCTAAAGTTAGCATGTTGTAAGTTAATGATGCACACAATAATCTCTAATGTAATCATGAAATAACAAGGCAAGGAGCTTTCACTAAATTTATAAAGAATAATAAATAATGAATAAGAAGTAATTGTTCGCTTAATCTACAGAAACAAATAAGGAAAGAACAGCTGAGAGAGAAAATGAATGGCAAGGTGATAGATTTAAACTTAGTTACCAGTAAGTTACCAGCAATTATATTAAACATAAATGGTCTAAACACACCAATTTAAAGTCAGAGTCTTCTGTGCTGAATAAAAGGCAAGTTATAATTATATGTTACTTGTAAGAAACCCACTCTAGCTATATTGACAAGAATAGGTTAAAAGAAAATGAGAAAAGAAAAATGATACTCATCAAGAGAAACTGAACAAGCTATATTAATTCAAGACAACTTAGATATCAGAGCAAGATTAATTACCAGGGATAACAAAATCATCTCACCATGCTGAATGATTAAAGTCGTCTATGAAAACCCTACACATTTATACACCCAGTGCAGGAAGCAAACACTGAAAGAACAATTAGTAATAGACAAATCTGTCGTTTTAGTGAGATATTCCAATATTCCTCTCTTAATGGTGAGGAGCCATAGTGGCATAGTGGTTATCTGTCTGTCTGCTAATAAAAATATTTGCCATTGAGCCTAAGAGCAGCTATGCAGAAAAGAGATGTGATTATTTGTTAATGTAAAGATTTGCACCAAGGAAAACTTATGGGGAAGTTCTCCTCTTTCTTAGAGGCTTACTATGAGTCAGAACTCATGACAGAAGATTGTATTTTGGGGGGGGGGGAGTCTCTAAGTGACACTTACAGAAAAAAGGAAATCATGCAACAACTGAAGAAGATGCTTTCTTTTAAATATTTTGAAAACATTTACCAAATTAGATTATATTTTGGGCAATAAAACACTCCTAAATATTTAAATAAATCAGTTTATGAAATGTATGTTCACTGACCACAAAGAAATTAAATTAGTAACTAATAACAGAAATGCAATGGAAAAATCCTCAAATATCTGAAAACTGAATATCACACTTTTAAATAAGTCGTGGGTCTAAGAAGAAATGAGCAAGGAAGTTCGTATTTGAGACTAAAATAAAACAAAAATTTATAAAATATCACGATAAAGAAAGTACACGACAAAATAAGGAATAATGTAATACCCTAGATAAGCATTAAATTAGCTGAAATTCCACCTTGAATAAATAGAAATCGAAGAGCAAATAAAAGCCTCTAAATATTCTTATAATAATCTCAAGTTGCAAATCAATTAAATAATAATAATCACAGGTAAAAAACTGATTTTAAAAAATGGATCTTTGAGAAAATCAATTCAATTAACAAACCTCATGTCAGATTAATCAGGGGAAAAAAAGAATTAGTCATAGTTCATTATTAGACATCAGAAATGCAGCATTAAAGTAGAATCTAAAACTATTCATAGGATATCTTGAACAATTTAATACTTACTAATTCAACAACATAGATGAAATATATAAATTGTTTTTAAAAGTTAAACAATGAAAGTTAATTCTAGAAGAAATAGGGCTACCATATAATAAAATAACAGTGTTAATTTGTAGCTAGAACTATCCTACAAGGAAAACTCTACAACCAAATGACTGTTGTGATGACATCTGCCAAGCATTTAAGTAAGAAATAATGCCAAAGTCTTTCAGCTAATTATAAGAAGGTCCTATTTTCCAATTCATTCTTTCAAGCCAACATCACCTTTTATACCAAAACCCAGTAAAGACATCTCAAGAAAAGATAGACATTAGACCCATTAGACCACTACTTCACCAAACATAATATCTTTCTCCAGCGATTGCTTGCTCCTGAGGGTTTGACTAAAGCAAATGGATCAGACCATGTTATGTTTGATCCATTAATGTTTAATGGATCTGAAGAATTACATCACTAGTCCTTTCTTCTTAGCATGTCTTCATCTGAAAGTTCCAATGACACCTGTCCATCCTAGACGAGCCTGCTAGTATTTAAAATATCGGTGAAATAACTACTAGTATCATAATAAAATGTAAGTCATCGCATAAGTTAAATTCACAGAAAAGAGGCAGTTTATTTCTAGAAAACACTAGAAAATCCAAACTAATAGTGGTAGAAAGCAGATCAGTATTGCTTGGGAAGGTGCGTGGAGGCGAAGCTAGGAAAGAGAAGTTACAACAAGGAACAAAGATATTTTGGATATTGTAAACATTTTCACTACCTTGACTATGTTGATGTCTTCTGAAGTGTCTATGTCAAAACGTGTCAAGGTGTACTCTTTAAACATGCACAGTTTATTTTATGTCAATTATACTTCAATAAAGGGTTAAAATTATACTTTAATATTGTATTGGACTTAATTGTCCAAAAATGCTTTCACATAATCTACCTTGTCTAATTATTCCACTTTAAGGGAACCTTTGATTGTATCCATAATAAATACTAGCCACATTGTTCATGTGTCTTTGGTTT